TATGAATGTGTGTGTGAATGGGTGAATGTGAGGCAATATGTAAAGCGCTTTGTTGGCCATTCATTTCTATGAAAGCGCTATATAAATGCAGTCCATTTACCATTTACACTTTTACTGCTTACCATGGAAATTAATCTAAAAAGTGAATGATGCTGACATTGATCTGCTGGATAATCGTGGAAATTCTTGCTTAATTTCTCACAAACCAGTAACCTTCTGTATAAAAATGTGCTCTTTAATAGTCCTGAAAAGCTTGATAGCTTTTGATGTGAGGGCCGCACATTTCTATAAGACCCCCATGTGTCATCATGTCTTATTCAAATGGTAAAGTGGAGAGATTTAGGCCAGATTGTCCATAAAAGGAAACAAGGCCATTTTCCCTTAGGTTTCAGCCATAAAACCCATTTCGAAAAAGCTGTCCTCATTTCCCACTCAGTGAACGAGCACCGCCAATTCTGAAACGCTTAAGACGAGTCCGTTCATTTGCGCTACAGATATGTTTCTGATTGTGTCATTTGAATGAAAAGGTCCCATTCATCTGTTTTATATTGCCATATACTGTAGCTCTCAGCATTATGCGACTAAATGTAGTTTTGTGTTTTCCGATTGCAAGGCTTTCACTGTTTTCTATACATTTAAGTCGTGCTTTGCTTTTCTTCCCTCAGTATCCACCCAAGTCGCCACCTTGTTTCTTGTCATCCTCTATTTTCGCTCCAGCTTCTGATATATCTCAGCTTTCATCCAATTAAACTCACATTTAGGCTGCAGTCATGGCCCACAGAAACCTGCTATTACTAGAAAGTACAACTTAAAACGTTATTCACGGTGGAGGGCCAGTGGTCAAACCAGGGCTTTCCAGTTGCTTGGTTCCAAGACTGGTGAAGTTCTAATGGACTTTTCTGGAGTCTGTAATTAGATTTTTAGTCACGCGTCTTACAGGGATGATTTGGTTGGGTTTTTATTTAGCTTCTCAAACAAAAATCAATGACTTTAAAAGAAGAACGACCATAAATAAATATCAGTTGTGACGGTAAATTGTTAGCCAGTATTTATGATCCATCTATGAAAAAGCTAGTATTATACAAAATTGAGGGTTTTGTAATAATCCTTTTAGTAGTGAAAAGTTCTTCTTTCAGAGTTCTGCCTGTATGTGCTTTGTCTCAGTAAGACACAATGCCTGTTTTCCTTGAATCCAGCACTATCCAGATGAAGTTCATTGTGACATCATCTTTGTGACATCAGTGTATCTGTAAATCTATACAGTATGTGGCCTGACAAGAAGCCAGGCGTTTGTGACTCTGCTTCATGTTCCTGGGGTGCATATGTGTCTAATATGTACAGGAGGAGAGGAAATGATGGTTGATGAGAAAATGAGATGGTCTTTGGATATGCACAATTTCTGTGATGTGTTTTTCATTGTGTCATTTAGGCTTGTGTTTCAAAACCCACGTCTCTGAACGACAGGATGTGGCTCCTTTTAAATCTAGGCAATTAGCATTGATCCATTGAACCAGTTCTAGTGCTGCTTTTTAGGCTTGGTGACAATTCATTTTGACATTAACAGAACACAATCTAATCAATTCCAGAGTTTGTCTCCAAAACTGTAACAAATTATAGTTGTGTAAGTGCACAACTGTGATTCATCATTTATAAGAAATAATTTGCTCTTTAATAATTTCATATGTTTCCCGTACATTGGATTGTCTCATTTCCACTCATTTGTTCTTTTTTTTTTATCTGGTTATGGCTAGCACTGCAGTCTTGTGGCTGAGGGAAGGAATCAGCAAAATCGTTTGCTGATGGTGACTGTTTTTAAGCCCAAACCAACACTCAGAAGAAACTTTTCTTAATGCCTTTCTTAAAGTCATTTCCCCACAAAAACATGTTGCGCACTGCTACTCTATTTTCTTTCTTTTCTTCTTTTCTGATTTTCTGCTTAAACAATCATTTTTTGGGACATCACAGAAAACAAAGCATCAGTCAGTCAGTCCATCACTCATTTGGTCTTTTCATATTTACCCCAGGGTCATTTTTAAACTTTTAAACCATGTTGTTCAGTGTCTCTTTCTGTTCATACTTTAGCCTGGGTTATTATTTAAGTTGATAATTAATCTCAGGTTTTGAGATTTCACACTGTATACAAAGAAATTTTAGTTTAAAAGCATTGACTAGACAAGTACAGTTTTAAAAGGGGTCCTATTGTGGCCTTTTACGAACTCTTGATGTGTTTTCATTAGGGATTCAAATTCCCATGCTCGATCGTCGTTAAAATTAACAATCAATTAATCGATTAATCGTTAGCATTAATGACAAACAGCATTACAGGGTCTAAAAATGCTGCTCAAAAAGCTATGTTCCTCACCAAATTAATAAGAGTGGTTTTTAATCTAAATAAAGGGTTATAGGATTTTAAAATGTTTTGATGTGATTGATAAATTCAATTAATTAGTTAATATATAAATATAACGAGATATGCAATGCGTCACCGCCGCCTCAGATGCGTGCTTGTCAGAAATGTGTGACTGTTGTGGACGTGAACGCACTGAAACGCCTACTAAACCCAATGAATTCACAACCATTTAATAAAATAGTGTCCTTATGTTATGTAATATGACTGCCCCCAAATTAACCATCGTTATTATTAGTTGTGCATTCTGCTTGAGCGGCGCGCGCTGAATGAATAACTGTTGAGCACTTTGTTAGCGTTTATTTAACTCAAAGAAACGCATCCTTTTCGATATTAATCAGATACAAAATAAACTAGGGCTGTCGAACGATTAATCGCGATTAATCGCATCCAAAATAAAAGTTTGTGTTTACATAATATATGTGGGTGCACTGTGTATTATTATTATTATATATATAAACACACACACAAGCTTGTATATATTTAAGAAATATTTTCATGTATATACTGGATATATATACAAAATAATTATACACAATGCACCCACATATAATGTAAACACAAACTTTTATTTTGGATGCGATTAATCGTTTGACAGCCCTAAAATAAACATAATATTACAAAATGATATCTGCAAAAAATGAGGTGAATGCACAAGTGAACTTAAACGTGCCATTCAGAATGGCTCATGTTGTGGTGGATGCGCTCTTCCTGGAACAATGCGGCATGGCATCTAAACCCAAATAATTCACAAAGTTTTATTACACTATTGTTCTCTTAATAATCTTGTGTACTATGACAGTCCCGGTAGTAATTATTAGTCGTGCATTGTCGTTTGAGCTGAGCGCTAAAGATCACGTCAATTCTTAACCAAATGCGTTTAATATGAGATAAATTAGATATAGATAGGCGTACACAAGATTTACTATTACAACTTACGTTTGCACAAAACAAAAGGCTGCGAATGCACACACAAACTTATAGTCATGATGAAGGTGTAAAATCGTCCCAAACAACTCCAATGTGTGTCATTCAGTGGGACTCAACACTTCGCCACACCGGAGCACTCACTTACATGTTTCACGGTTAAGCAGTACGCACACGCATGATCCTGCTTAATCGATGATCGGTAAGTTTTATCGATTAAATGTATTATCGACAATTTCAAGCTTGATTGTTTAAAAACGCATTACTTTCATATATTTTACATTGCAGTTGCTTTCTCCCCAGTCTGCCTCAAACACGCCAATTTCGATGAAGCCCCTCCTTCTGAAATACGAAATGTGCTGTCACTGCTGTGATTGGTTAGCTGGCCCAGTGTATTGTGACTGGCAGCGCTTAGCGCGTGTTCCCATCCCTCTAGAGCAGCGAGTTCTTCTCTAGTGTAAATATTAACTATGGCGTAAATTTCAAACCAATTCAAGTCTGATTCAGACCCTGACAATTTTAATGGACGAGGATCGTGCAGAACGGATTTCATGCACAGACTTTGCAAGCACAGATTTCGCTGGATGTTTCAGAGTGGTATGCTTTTTTTGTAATTTCCTTATACATTATAAATATAATGTTATCCACCATTTAATCGTGATATTTTTGTCAGAAAACTAGGGTAATACAAACAATAATCGATCACGTCATGGCTAATTTTCCTAAGAAGTGGTGAACCGTCTCACAAAAGTTACAGAAAACAAGCTGTTCTCCATAAAATGTGCATTGCGCAGATACACGTTTGGGTTTTAATCGTCAGGAACAGTGTTCAAAATAAGTTTTAACCACTCTAAGTTCGTCAGCCTTAGGAAGGTCAAACAAATGAGTTTTGGAAACGTCTCTTTGAAATAGCCACAACACTGTCTTCTCTAATGCAGGCATCGTCCCTTTTTTTGCGTATTCCATTGGTGGGGATTATGATAATGAGTAACCTTATGACTTCATAAGATTGTAGTCCACCTCTGAGAGAGCAGCTTGCAGGCCTGGATACTCAGATAAGCTGACAGATCCATTCTGCTATTTTAGAATCAAGTGGAGATTTGGTAGACGGGCTGGTATTTCCTTCCATTGTCTGAGAGACTTGTCAGTGTGGACAGCTGCCGTGTAGACACATGGTATGGACTCATGAAGGACAGTGGCAAACTAGTTTCCCTCTTATTTTGAGTGGTTTATAGCAACTGGCCTTTCTTTGCCTACTGAAGGTCTTTCAGTTTTTCTTCAGTTTGTGCTATTAAATGTATTTTTATTTCACATTTAATGGATTGTGTGAGTGAGTGGCGTGCAGCAGTTTACAGTGTGTGGGTAGTGCTGGCACTCACTGTTTCTTTATTTATTTGTTTATAGACCAGGCAGCAGAGCGTTAATTAGATGTGGAATGTGGGAATTTCATCAACCAATTCCTCCCGTCACAAGGTGGCAACTCGCACGCATAACACCATGGAAAACAAAACCCCCTATTCATTTTATCTAGTTGGTGTCGTGACTCGTTTAAATTACTCAGTCAAAGCATTGTGGCGTTGAGCGATTGATTTTCGTTTAACAATTGCTAAGTTACCATACATTGTGTTTCTAAATGTGCTCTTCTTCAATACCTGTGTTTCTGCAGGAACAAAAGACCGCAGTAAAGGTGGGGATTTTACCATGTTTAAGGCAGTGCTGAAGAAAGGTCGAGAGGGAGGAGGAAGATCTGGTAAAAGAGAAGCAGGTACAATATTCTTCTTTATGGCCAAAAGGAAAGAAAGTATTAATAAACTAATTGCTGACACCTATTGAACTGTTCTTTGCTTTTGGCTATTGTGTGTATGCTTAATTTAATTGCATAATTGGCTTATGGCCTCCAAAGAGATTTACAGAGAGGTCACTGTAAACCTTTAGGGTTGGCTAAATGAGATTTAGGTTTTTCTCTTTTCTTATTCTTATTTTCAGGCTGTGGCTTGTCATTGCTTTATACTCAGGGAAAAATGATCTGGACTGAAAATTCCAGATCAGAACACAATCATAATCACTAATTTTAGGATTTCACGGTTGGAAAACTGGTAATAGCCAGTTAGCTTTTTCTCTATGGAACTCAAAAGGAGAAATTTTGAATAATGAATGGAGATTAGAGCTTTCAAAAAGCAAGCTTTTCCAAAATCATCATAAAAAATATCATGCAAATAGTGCATATGTCCAGTTAGCAATATTCCATGTCTTCAAAAGCCACAGTTTTAAGGTACAGTATGTAACTTTTGGTCCTCTAGCAGTTAAAAAAAAACCTGCATACATTTTGCGGACGAACATTGTTTTGGTTGTACTTCTGCTATGCGTGTCTGTGCGGATTAATATTTATCATACTTCTCATAAAACTTAAGGGATAGCTTAAGGGATATAACCAGTTTAGATGGAAATGGTCTCAAGCTGACTAGCTAAAGAAGTTGAAAATAAATTCCAGCACAGCGCTATTACTACCACAATGAAATGACCCTTCACAATAGAAAATGCTTTACAATGAGAGCTACATATGGCAATTTATGTGGCAAATACAATATCTCATTCACTTATTGAGTAATAAAAACACAATCTCCTCGTCACTTTTCAATCTCTGTGTTTTGGCCATCTTTAAAAGCCAAGCCACTGTTGGTTCTTGTTTTATTACGACCTCTGTGACTTTAGAATTCTCTTTTGGCCAGCAGACTCGCCTCTGTTCGGCGTTTAAGAAAACACAAACTGATTATTCCTTTGAGGTTTGAGATTTATCTGCTCCATGTCAACCTTTCGCACCTATTGTGACAACTAACCTATGCCACTTTCACACCATACACACGTCAAAGTGGCCGGAGCAACTTTTCTCTATTTACAGATATGACTAGATATGACTTCATAAATTAGTAATTCAAATAGGTTTAATATATAACTGCTTCATTATTTTCGATGGTATCAAATTCTTAAATCTATATTTTCTAAAAATGTGCTCTTTCATGAATGGGACATTGGTCTTCACAAATCCACATTTCTCATTATTGTGTCCAACATGGCATCATGACTTTTGCGTAGACATACACTCCACTTTCAAGTCAAGTGGCGTGTTATATACGCATTTTGAGCTAGCCGCGTGTATGTCTACACCGTTAAATGTCAGAGTGATGTACATCTGGGGAGCGATATTTTTTTCCTAGGATGGTATGGGGAGACTCATAAACGGTATTAACCCGTGACGAGACGGTTTAGGGACGGGGTTGGGGAATGTCATATATTTATATATACAGTAATGTAATGTTAAGTAAACGGCGTTCATAAACACACTGAAAAGCGATTATGCGTGTTGATAGCATGCCAAAAATGGAAATACGAATTGGCGTGTCATACATACGCCATTTCATGAGATCAGGATAGCTACGTACAGAACTCAAAATGCACTTTTACTGTTGTCACTGTGGACAAAGTCCCTTTAAGACAAGTAATTTCACTCGACGGCCATCTACGAAACGCTTCTCGGGCTCTTTGAATGGGGGAAACATCAAATTCTCCAAAACTGTTTGCCAAGCACACGATTAAATTTCATATTTAAAATCACCAATGAAATCTGACAACAACTGTCTCATTAATTTTGTTTCGCTCATGCGCAGTGGAAGCACGTGTCTGACTCTTCATATTGGAAGCAGAGCTTCTAACCGCAGTGACACGATGACTTTGCCAATCGGAAATTGGCTCTTATTTAGAAGGCGGGACTTATGCCGCCATATTGAGCGTAGCACTTTTCCCCATTCAAAACAAATAAGAGTGATGTGTTATGTAACACAAGCATCTGGTGCTATTCTATAGTCTTTTCTATGGACTATTTTACTGTAGTTCATTTTTTAAATTCTTGTGTTTACTTTTTTGTCATTTTGTAACTACCCAATCCCCCATGCACTTTCATTTTATCGAAAAGTCTAGCTGGGATGTTGAGGGTGAGTAAATTACAGGTTTTTTTAAATGGAATATTTTGGATGAATATTAATTCAAAAGTCTTTCACACTTATGTCACTCTCTTGGAACGTCAGCCACTGCCATAAATAAGAGTCATTACATCATTGATGTCACGTTACCATGAATGATACCCATTTCCACAAGATCACACTGGTTTCTGCTCGTGCTTCTTGCTGAATTCAGAACCATCGCTGGCCCGATACCTCTTTCCCAACGGAGCCTCTCAATGGAGCAGTGTTCCAATTAACCTCATTCATCTCTGCTTCACTCACTCACTTAAGTATGTCAAGACAAGTTTGAGAGCTGCCAAACAAACACTACCTGACCCACATACAAGAAACTTTTCATCTGCTAATCTAACTCAAAGTGTTGTTTCTGAGGAAGAAGACTGCAAATAAATGATTTCCCTTGTATATCCTCCTCTCTTGAATGTAGTTGATTGTCACTTTGTTCATTCTCTGATGAGCAAATCTGCTCTACTAATATCGGTGAATCCCTCTGGTTTTCATACTGACAGCCAATGAAGTCCCTGTCGGTTAGAGGCAACACTCGTGTGTCCTCTGAAGAGGCATATTGCTCATGAAGTATTTACAACACCTTATGTTTGCTGCAGGGGGATGGAGTTATCCAGCCCACATGACAGATCAGGCGCCACTGATACACTCTGCAGTGACACTTTTTTTTATCTGCACGTTCAAACATTGAACGTGCAGATAAAATAAGCGACACTCATTGCATCTTATGAGATGTACAGTATTAAAATCAATACAACCTCTTTTCAACCATAAATGGCAAAATACTGCTGTTCTACACACTACCGTTCAAAAGTTTAGTTTAAAAGATTTTGTCTGTTTTTGAAATTCTGTTATATTTAAAAATTGAATTTGTTTCTATAACATCAAAGCTGAACTTTTAGCAGCAATTATTTCATCCATTATGGGCTATATGCATGCAAAAGTTCCGCTCGTCCATTTCCGATTGTGGAGATTAAAGCGGAGGAAAACCGAGGAAAACGGGATTATGGCAGAGTCTTTCAAATTTACTGTCCTCCCGTCTTTGAAACGAAACGTACATACGTTTAGATGTAATTTTATATATAGTTATGTTTATTTCATATAATTTTAAAAAGAAGCATAAACACAACGAGTGGTGTCTGTTTTATCTGTTTTTGTGACTAACGTTTCTTTAGTATAACCATGGTGTATAAAATTTAATATAAATTCTCGGTATTGTTTTGGACTCTACGATCGGTCGAAGTTATCGAGCATCCTTAAACCTTCACCGGAAATTAGTCTTCAGTGCCGCATGATCCTTCTGAAATCATTACAATGTTACAAACCTTGGTTGCTTTTATTTTTTTTGTTTGTTTGTTGAGAAACCATGATACATTTTTCAAGATTCTTTGAATACCTAATGAGCAACATTTAATTGAAATGAAACTCTTTTGTTACGTTTGCTGTCACTTTTGATCACTTAAATTTGATTCAATTTTTGCTGAGAAAGTATTATTCAGGGAAAAAATGGTTACTTAACTTTTGAACGGTAGTGTACAGAAATTGCAGTTTGCAGATATTGTTTCTGGGAAGTGAGCGTCATTTGATAAAAGGAGTCTTTATTGGAGAAAAAATGTGCTTGAATGTAAATGAACACCGTATTGAAACTTTCCAGAATGTACTGTAACTTCATCTTGAGAACTTCATACTATTAAATAGTTTACTAATATCCAACCATGAGTTTAAAATGGTACATTGAATATAAAATATAAAGAAGGTTGTTCTTATGCTGTACTGTACTGTAGATCTGGTCGTACTGCAGAGGAGGAAGTAGCCATTGTGTGCCTAATGTTCTCAAATATAATAATAATAATAATAATCTCATAATATCCTCTTACAAATAAATGACTGATTTGAAACACTTTAGAAAGAAATGTAACACAAATGGTGCACAGAAGACCCGTCTAACAATTGATTCCAAAAGAGTTTGACATTTACCTGTTGCTAAGCTATTGACACAAAGTATAAAAATATGTACAGTGCCACATACAAAAATTGAATAAAATAGTCTATTTTAAATAAGATTGACATATTTTTCTTTTGTAACT